CCAAAGTTAAGTCTATACATTATAAGTATAGGGTCAGCAGATATATCTTCTCCCTTAATCAAAGCAAAATGGAGACAGTAAAATCTTGTCATTAATGTTTACAAATTACAAAACACCAATGTTTATATTGATCAAGGGGTAAAATAATATTTACATATTTCATAAATTAATACAATTTGTTATTTGTATGAACAAAAAATATTTTTTATTACACATATTCATTTATTGGCCTACCAGACAATACAGCAATTTCTCCATTAAAATTTATTGGCACATAAGCAATTTATAAATTTTTTAAAAAAGAAAGCTATAACCATTCTTGTAAGATGAATTTAAAATGATTGATATCAAGCGAAATACAGAGGATAGCAAATGAAAATTACATTCACACAACAAAGTATCACATTTAATGAAAGATTATTCATTGGACATGACAAACAAGCATTTTTATCCCTACTCTGTTTTTATCTAATTTGGTTGTACTTTTCTTACCTAGTGTGACAACTAATGGATTCCCTTTTTCATTGCATTAAATTATTTTTTTTCCTAGCAGCTAAATTAAAATTAATATGGTAATAGTTTTATTTTAGTTGATCAGAGTGACTTCCCATATTGTACTAGCACACAAAAAAGTCTAGATTGTACATCTCTTCACCATTTATAATAAAAATTTCACTCACATACATCATTGGTAAAAGACTATATTTATAACCTGAGTATAAATGGAGGAGTTGTCTGGGTGATTTCAAATGCCATGTTATATACTAACTAGCACAGCAAGGCTTATTTCCCTTCTTTTCTTAAAATCCCCATACTGAGGTACATACTTTTGGTTTTCTTCCTTAGCAAAAAATTATTTTTAAAAAGCTCCTGCTGTGTTCAGAGCTCTTGTAAAACAGCTAAGACTGCTAAGACATTGCTACTTGCTTGTTAGTCTATTTACTACTGCCAGCATAATGGTCGAATGAATTAAAATATTAATTCAACATTTCACAATTTAAAAACAGGTTAAATAAACATCTGGCTATTTAAAAACAAACAAGCAGCTAAGAACAAATTTAAATAATTAGTTCGATATTTCTGTCTTGTCTATTAAGACATAAAAAGAGTCATATTAATGGTTTTTTTTTTCTCCGGCAATTATTTCTGATACATTTGGAATCTAGGATTAAGAAGGAAATACCAACAAAAAAATATCTCACAACTGCTAACCTGAAAGTCTTGAATCCAGATCCTGGGCTAGAGTCAGTAGGATGTACCTCAGTCCACCCAGCTCTTACTCACGCTAGGGAAAGTAAAGGTAGCTGGGCATAGTATTGACCATACTTACTATCCCTTCCTATTCTAAGGTTACAGAAACAGGTGAACTCTATCTGCCCTAGTCCGCAAGGGTAAGGTACTACCAGCAAAAAAATATACCAACAAACAAGGAAATATGATTTCATCTCAATTATGGATTTATCTTTGACAACAATATACCCTACAATGTGTAGTAGTTTATACCAGCCCCACAGTCACTTAATAAAATCCAAGTACCTGGTATACAGAGCATCATACACACTATATATATATATTGCACACAATCTCCAAAACAGTTTCCTTTAAGGGGAAAAAGCTAGTGTGCAATGTGTAGTTTGTGTTGTTCTAAAAGACTTATACAATGATATTTGTATTTTACAAAATGACTTAGCGGAAGCTCAAATCTACTGCGACTGCTCAACTGCGCAGATTAGAGGTAACACATTGCTCATAAGAGAGAATCATGCTTTACACTGGTTACTAGAAATACAATCTTACTTTAGTAACAAGAAAACCATAACATCATCATTAAATAAATATAAAATTAACTAAGCCCAATTGACTGCCTGCTTAAGAACATAGTAATAAAACATTTTTACATTCTTACAACAATATCCATAGCACTAAAGCTCCTGATTAAATCAAATAGTAGTTTATTTATATTGTAAAGCAATATAATTTATTTAAATTATACTGTTAAAAAAATGATTTTGCAGTAATTATTCCAAGTACTGTTATTTTCCCAATTTTAAAAGTATACTTTTAATGAGAAATTTCTTGTTTAGTTTAATGTTGATTTAATTGAAAACGGTAAGTAGCATAAAACTAGGTTTTTACCATTTAAATCCAATATTTTATTACCCAATGAAAAGCAACTATAACATAACAGGTTTTACATAATTATCATCACAGTTGCAGTTTAAATAATTTTCTGAATACAAAAATAAACCAAAAAGTCATTTAATGTCAACTCCAAAAAAAAAATTAACTGAATACAAGCTTAATAAAAGTTTAACCCTTTTACCACCAAATAAAAAGAGCAGTTTAATTTTGTACATTTTTCTATAGCAAATGCATATCTATGTAAACTATTTAAATGTGAAGCAAGGAGCAAACACAAAGGTCAAAAAATATAACAAACATTAACACTTAGGTCTCTGGTCCTAGCCTTGTTCTATAATAAACGCTGCTTGTAAACATTTTTTGAGTACCGACTAAATTTATTGTATTTTTTGGAGAATTTGTCTGATAAGATTCCTTCGTCAAATAAATAGAATATTGACTTTACTCACAGCTGGTTTTTTTACAAGTATATTTTCTGATATTAATCAAAATAAAGTTAAATGTTAAAAACATATTGCCATTTAACAACTATGGAAAGAAAACAATAATCTAAAGGTAAATTTTAATTTGAAAAAAAATTAAGGCAGATTTTTACTTTAAAATTTAGAGCTTTTATTTTGGGAATGAGTTGATTCTTAAAAGGATGGGGTAAATAAAATGTTGAGTTTTAAATGAATTCTAATTATTCAAAAAAATATCAATTTAATAAGGTATTGTTATTACCTATCTACCCACTCTCTTAGATTTTTCTGAGAAAAATTGTAGTTGAGTAATAAAATTATAAAAATTAAGATGGAAATTTTGTAAAACAAAACAAACAGTTGAGTTAAAAGCTATGTAAATGAATGATGATAGAAAGTGCGAACAAGTCAGGTTGAATGTGGATGGTTTGGTATAGATGGTTGGGTTGGCCGTTAAAAGCTTGACATAGCCCTATAAAATACACTGGGACCAATTTTTTTTATAAACACAGTTAAATGTTTTTTTTTTAAACAAAGTAAAGTTTTCTACAGCAAAAGAAATTTGTAACAAAAAATTAATTGTAAAGCTACTTGGTCAAATTCTACACTTGCGTCCACCAAGTATCCAACTGATGAGTATTGAAATTTAGTTTATTCACAACATGATACATGCTTATATACAGATTAGATAAGTGATACGCCATTTCAGCTCTACAGAAGAAATTAATTTAGTCAAGCTATAAATATGACACTGCAAATTGTAATTCAAGCAATAAAATGTTTTTGAAACAGTAACGATTTAAGTAAAAATAATGATAAACTGAAAGATTAATCGCTTAGTAATTTTTAAAAACAAAACAACAGAATTGTCAAAAAATTAACAGTAGTGATTTTTTAAGTAAGTAATATTTTTTAACTTTATTTTAAAAATTCAATCACAACAAGATTTAAAAAAAAAACCTCTGGTTAATTTTTTTTTTAACTTTAACAAAAAATTTATGAAAGAAATCTTGTTTTTTTTTTTAAATAATAAAAACGTACCAAGTCAAAGATCACTTGATGAAACAATTATCAAATATAACATTGCAATCAATCCAATAGCTAAAATGTATGAAAATCTAATGAACATTGTTTTTTATAGATATGACATATATATCATCATAAAACATCACAACACACTAGTTCAACAGGGGATTTTTTTTTAGTGCAGTATGAAAGAGACAATGAAAGTATTGATAACAATCTGCACATATTATCAGAAAGAGAAACATAACATTTGGGTTAACTAAACTTTTTTTATATTTTTCTTTCTCAAAATTATAACATGCCTGTATTTATAAATACAGCTCCAACAAGTCCGCGGAAAAGTTGGTAACAAGACACCTCTGATTAGCCATACAGTTCTGTCTTATAATAATTTATTCAAAGACCTAATTGTGTTGTTAATCAGCTCAAGTTTCATCTATAACAGAATGTACATTTAAAAAAAACAGCCTCACCTAAGTGTAGCATTAAAACCTAATGTTGCTGGTCATTGCAAATTAATTTTTTTGTTAAGATGTATAACTATACATTTGTTTAACCAAGTTTAATGTTTAATTCTAAGTATACCACAACACAGGGTTGTGAATGGTAGAGCACTTGAATGCTAGCCCAAAAGTCTCAAGTTTTGAATTATGTCTGGTGTAGTGACTAGGATGTCCCTGGGTTCACCTAGCTCTGATCTGATGGGTACCTGACTCAAATTAGGGAAAGAAAAGGCGCTGGGCATAGTGCTGATCACACCATCCCTTCATATGCCGAGATCAAGAAACATGAACTCTACTTTATCTGCCCTATGGGTCATTAGGTCTAAAAGGGGGACTTTAATTTTTAAGTTTACCAAAGATAAACCATTAATATTAGAAATTTACAATATTTTAACATAATTAGTTAATATGCCAAAGTTTAGCATAACAATTTTACCCATGCTTGACATAATTACCCAAGTTTAACTTTAAAGTTTTACCAACTTTATAACATTTAAGCTTCAAAGTTTAGCTAAGCCTTTATTTAACTTTATTTTCACTACCCTTAAAACTATTAGAGTAAACTTGACATATAATACATTCACTCCTTGTTTCTTTAACCATTGATGTTTCTGAGAAACAGCTACAAGTTAAGAAACTATCCTTTCCTGTCCTGTTAATATTGGCAGATAAAATTATATTAAATACTAATCAAGTCCTCTGCAAAACAGCAAAATTATAAAAGACAGAGTTCTTAAATTATTTTTAACACATGCTATGCAAGGATCAAGAAATAGGATCTAATGCCTAATTTTTTTAAAATTTTTTAAACAAATGTATTTTTAAGCAATGTTTTTGCATTTTGTTCAGACAAAATTAATCTTGTTGCATTTTTAGAGAGTAAAAAAATTCACTGTACTCTGTTTTGTATGGACCATTATCTCAGAAAGGGTGTCTTTCTTATTGTTAACTACCACATTATCTTTTTCTCTTAGTTTCAGCCATAACCAATGAAAGCTGTAAACATAGTTAAATAACATATAAATATATTTGAAAGACATACTGACATGTCATTTTTAAAACAATTTCAAACATGAATACTATAATACATGAAGGTAAAAAATACTTCACATTTAAATGTCAAAGGCTATATACATCTCACAAAGAACAATAATAACTTGAAAAATTGAATTTAAAACAAAAATTTCTTTTTAAACGAACATTTTAAAAAAATTCTCTTCTACATTGAAAAAAAAAATTGTTCTAAAATGTCAAAACAATGGAAATAAAACTGAAGATTTAACATATGGAGTTAAGAAATTTATAAAACAGTTAAGTTTAGAACATCAAGTAAGTTAAAATAAATTTTAAATAAAAACAAAACAAGGAACGGCAATGAAGAAAATTAAGTTGGGCGGATTATGATCAGATTGTATACAGGTTTTTATCTTCAATCAACATCAATAAAACACTGCATACAGATGGAAATGGGAATTTGTGAATATATTATCAATTATGGTTATGAATAGTTTAACTGCGTAAATCCTGATAAAATATTTGTAGTTAAATAAACCAGGCAATCAATATAACTTATTTTAAAATTGGTTTATTAAAAGTAAAACACATTTTTTTTGGTAATACTTATAAAGAATTTAAAAATCTAATCCTTCCAAACTAATTGTTTTGAATTTTGTTTTAAAATCATTAGCATTGAATTAGGTCCCTTAAAAGGTTCTCCTTGTTAAAGAAAATTTAAAGCACTAAAATTTCAATAAACCAATTTAATTAAAAATTATTTTATTAAAATGTATTTCAATACACAATTTAGTATTGAACCTTAAAGGCAATGAAACCCATAAGCATTTGTTTACTTTTGTGAAGAGGACACATTGCAGATATTTAACACATGAAGGTCTAGAAACCGGCACTCTTGTAGACTGTTAAACACAGCAAGGACAATCTTTCAGCAGATTCTACTCTATCATACTGTTAATACACTTATTGGACAGGTCTTCAATCAAACCCCTTCAGCTATTTATAATCTTTCCCTCAATCACATGACCACAGTGTTTCTTGCATTATAAAATCTAGTCATTGTACTAATGCTGACGATAAAAAGTGTGTACTACCCAGTTAACGGGTGTAGATCAACTCTCACTTTTTCATTACTGCTGAGCATCCCTATAGTTGGGTAGAAGCCACCTTTGGGTACATTCACCTCCCTATGACCTATGACTTTACCGTTTCTTGTGAAAAATACCTGAAGACAAGAACACAATATTAGAAGTAATAAAGAAAATGTAACTATTTAAAAATCATTAAAGTTGATGTGCACTAGAAATAAACATTTCAGTTGTCCTATGCACAATATTATTTGTTCTGCCTAATAAACTGTCAGCATAATATTATTTGTTTTGCCTAGGAAATTGTCAACAAAATTTGACAAGTGTAATTCATAAGGTTTAAGTTAAGCAAACATTTAATGTCTAAGAGAATTTTCAACAGCACTTCTTTTTAAAAACCAATGTCTCAATATTATAGCATAAATATAATTAGCAATGTACTTTTTAGCGCAATTTCCATACTGGCAATTGCGATTATTAATTCGATATTTATGGATGGATGGATGGATGGATGGATGTGTGTCCTAAGCTTTAAGTCGTATCTCCTCCTCAACGAAGCAATATCGATGACTAGTTACAAAAGCAATTATGTTAAGCAAGTTCTGAGGATGATTGTGGGCCAATTCCTTCCTGGATTTCCCGGAAAAGCCAAAAAACCTTTAAAAAATGCAGTTTTTGGCCCATATCTCGGCAACCAGACCACTTAGCGACTTGAAACATTTACCAATCGATTCCTGCCATAATTTAGAACAATATTGCCGAAGAAAGTTTTCAAAAATATCCTTTCATTCGGTCACAAAAAATTAATTAAGGAAATAGCGCTTAAATTGTCACTAGACTTTTTATTAACTTTTTTATTTAAAATTTCCAGGAAGTTTAAAAACAATTACAAAAAAAAGGTAAAATGTGGAATATTGTGAACACAATACCTAATTATCTAACCCAAGTCAGATGAATTGTTCAACCATACACATTTTTTCACAGCTTATATTAGGTGTTATCCATTCATGGTACCAAAACAAAAAATGTGGATTTGGGATGGGGGGTGGATAGGCAGGCGTGATGTGGACATCCACAAAAATTGTGTCAAAAAACGTATTCTAGGCTTACTTAAATAATGTGTTGTGAATCTTGCAATGCTAAACATTTAAAGATTAAAATATTTATTCTAAATGTCTTTAATTAAATATTAAAACTAAAATCTGGAATGTGTTGAGTTTACTATTTTACATGTTTTAAAGGAATCATTATATGATGTGCCCTTGTTTTATTTTCAACTATTTGTTCCCACTATCGAACAAAAACAGATGCAGGGTATTAAAAAGTTTTTAAAGTATGTTTTCTGTAATTTTATGCAGCATAATAACAAGTTGTAAAGCCGTAAAGTGCATGACCTCTAATTCTATTTTCATTCATCGACACAAGAGATGCAAACTTTATTGGATATTATTTACTTGCTAAATGTGGTTTTCTTTAAAATACAGTCACTGATATTTAAATCCAAACATCTGTATACAGGTTAAAAGTTTTGTGTCTTATAAAATTTAAGAAATTTGATGTAAAATTTAACCTTTGGACATCCACATGGACCCAAACCCACCCCATCCTTCAATCTACTCCCATAAATTTTTTTTCAGACCCCATCCCACTCAATGAGAACATCATAAACGGGAAACCTCTTATCAAATTAAAATATTTCTAGCCACCATAAAACACAAGTTTCAACATTACTTACAGTTACTTTGGCACCTTTCCCTCTATTATTACGTCGTTTGGGTGGCCTAAAAAACAGGTCGTCATCATCCGAGTCACCTAGACCAAGAATCTCATCGAGCTGGACATCATCCTCTTCCTCTTCATCCTCATCGTCTTCTTCCTGGTTCCTCACGTCATCATCTTCATCGTTACTTAAAACCTCTGCTTCATTGTCGTAATCAGGAGGAAAGTATATACCACATCCCATTGTATCCCCTAGAGGCATGACATGATGATAATCAAACATCCGTGTATAATACATGATTATAATCAAACATACATCATTATAATTAAACATCCATGAATATAATTCAACATCCATGGTTATAATTAAACGTCTATGATAATAATCAATTATCTATATATATAATTTTCTTCTTGGAGACCCTAGAAAACAAGCTGTAAGCACGCCTTGCAGTCCCCTCTCTTCTTCACTATTTATAAATCAACCTCCCCCTCCCCACATGGTCTTGTGAGCTGTGGTCCATGCTAAATGTTTACAATCGTAGAGCCGGGTTTAGTGGCGGCTATTAGGGGCAGATAATTTAGTTTGAAACGATTTTAAACTTAGGGGAGGTAACTAAGAGGAGGCTGTTTTCACGGTGGGGGGGGGGGGGGGGTAGGGGAAAGGAAGGGGGGGTTATCATCCTTAACGAGTTATTGATAGTGATTTAAAGCAAATATATTCAGTGGCAACATTGGTACTGTCGAATTCACAAATTATGAATTACTGAAAAGTAGAAAAAACAACAACTAAATAGCGGCTTATAATACGCAACGGGTCGGCTCGTACAGTTATAATTAAACACCCATAATAATAATTAAACATCCATAAAATAATTAAACCTCCATGATAATAACTGAACACCAATGATTATAATTAGACTACCATGCTTATGATAAAATAACACTAAATGATAAATCTGCCTTGCTGCATCCCCTGCAGGCATGCCATGATTATAATTAAACACAATACCAAATTATAACTTAGCTCCAAATATACCATGATTTTTTTAGCTTTTAAATAATTGTATATAGAATAAATCTAATTCCAAAACATGCAAATCCCCCTATATTTTAAAATCATCTTAACAGTTGAACTCACCCATTGAACACTTTGGACCAAATCGAACACCCATCCCAGAGCCATGAAACAGTTTTCCGTCATCTATAAAACAAAATAAAACAAGACAATAATTATAATAATAACACATGGGAAAAGCAGGTAATATTAGTTCTCAATTTCAAAAAAATTAAATTATATCTTAAAATAAATACATACCTTTTTTTTAAAAAAAAAAAAACCAACTGTTGAGCAAGATCTATTTAAATTTACATCCAGAAACCATTTGTGAAAAGTTCCACAATTTTCTAAATTCAGGAACTAATGAAAACCTTTTAAACTAGACACAATATTTACAAACAAAACATACCTGCATGGTAAGCTATAGAGCCATTATTCCATCCTGGATGTCTTCTCATGGGGTAGTTCTGAGATTAAAAACATTAAACTCAATTATTTGAATAGGTTAATCTAGTTACAATTGCAAAACCGTTAGTGCATCATGCATATAATCCCAGCAAAAGGGTTCTGTCTTTAAGCGAATTGAATGCTAATGTAATAAATCAAGATTGCAGACATTGTACTGATTACTTCATAATGGTTATCTTTCACAGGTAAAGAATGAAGACATTTAGCTGATCACTTACTCTCTTAATATATTATTCACCTAGGCAAATATGTTCAATACTTTACATTCAGTTCAACTGATGCTTTACCCTTTAACCCCCCCCCCCCGGTAAACCAACCTTGTGTTGTTCTAAATTTTATCTTTGAATACCAGGTTGGAAAGGAGGGTTAGTGATTATGATCAAGTTCTGCTTCCTCTGCCCAACTGGCTATCATCCTAAATGGAACTTATAAGCATTACAGCTCGTTCTTACTGAATGACTAATAAGATTGTCAGTACAATACCTACAGCTGTTGATATTACTGTACCTGTTTAGCAAGTCCTATAGCAACATAGCACTTGTCCCCTGGGTCGACAATCTCAAATTCAAAATAATGATTCGTTGTATCGAGAGGGTACTTGGCCTGGGCGAGTCCAACATCATGTATAGTCCGTCCTCTGCCAGTATATTCTAATGTCTAAATAAAAAATAGTTCTACATTGTAAATATGGTCTTTTCATAATAAAATATTTTTTAAATCTAATTTAAAATCATATACATTTTTTTTAAAAAGATACTTTTATTTAACATGATTTGTTGTACACTAAATTAACTTCCTCTCAGTATATTCTAATGTCTAAATAAAAATAATTCTACATTGTAAATACGGTCTTTTCATAACAAAAATTTTTAAAAAATCTAATTTAAAAAACATTTTTTTTTTTTTTTTTTAAAGATACTTTTATTTTATATGATTTATCATACATTAAATTTATTTCATTAATAATAATCGGTTAAAAAATATAAAATTTTGATCATAGTTACAGAAACCAATGATAACAGTTTAAAGCAACATACCGTTCCATTGAGCCTAACATCTTCTAAACGAACCCAGTCCTCCTCGCCACAGTCCACCACCATCTGGGTGACATCGTCAGGGTTCCATAGAGCATCCAGCCGTAGAATCACCTCCTCCCCCTCAGACTGTAGCCCCACTGCTGGGTACAACTGATGCGGCCGGAGGGCTAGCTCGAAGCTTTTAACCTGAGAGTAGAATTAAAAAGTGTCAAAAATGCAGGTTTCTACACTGTCTCTTCATATGGAGAGATCACAGAAACAAGTGAACTCTAGTTCATCTTCCTTACTGACCACCATATCGGAAAGAGTATGTCTACTTTTAAACAAGTAGGCCTTATTTGATGGATTTTTAGAAAAAAAAAAACAACTTAAAAGAGTGATTTTCAATTAGGTCAAAAAACGGATCCAGCATACAAAAAAAATAAAACAGCCACAATAAAATTGAATTTGGTCTGAAACGACAAGAATGTTCTTTTGGTTTTGCAAAAAGAATGAGATCTGATTTTAAATAAACACTGATCTGATGTATTATGTAAAGATAGACGGATATCACTGAATACTATAACACAGTTAACCTTACTTAAAAAAATAATACTATATTTCAAGCTAAATTCAATTTAATAAATATAAACAAACACCATGCACCTCTTGGCCATTCTTTGTAAAGAATATCCTTGAGCTGTGCCTGTCTCCACCAGCGGGGTCATCAATCAACCGTATGCCGACTCCCATTCTGTCGCCCAATGCACAAGTAGGGCCATACTGACTCATGTCAAAATTACCCCGACCATGGTTTATATAAAATCTGAAGAGAAAAAATATATTATTTGATAAATAGAATAATGTTTACAATAATTGTTAAGTGATAATAAGAGACTTTAAGACTAACGCCTCCTTTCTATGGAAATTAATATTGTAAAACAATTAGTTGTACATGTTATGCCAGCTGACTGGCTATAATTGAAATATACTAATGTATGTATACTAATTATAAATATACCTATGTATGTATACTTATTATAAATATACCTATGTATGTATACTTATTATAAATATACCTATGTATGTATACTTATTATAAATATACCTATGTATGTATACTTATTATAAATATACCTATGTATGTATACTTATTATATAAATATACTTATGTATGTATACTTATTATATAAATATACTTATGTATGTATACTTATTATATAAATATACTTATGTATGTATACTTATTATATATATATACTTATGTATGTTTACTTATTATATATATATACTTATGTACGAAACATTTTTAATGACATTTATTTTTTTTTAAAACGTTGAGAAAAATTAAGACTAATTTCATGTGAACTGACGTCCTGAGAGTGACTTTCCATTTTCTGATTTGCTATAATTGAAATATACTTATGTATGAAAAAAAAAATAAAATAATTATCTTTTAAAGTTTTAATAATTAATTTCTATTAAGTTAATAAAAAAACATTGAGAAAAATTAAGACTAATTTCATGTGAACTGACGTCATGACAGCGACTTACTTTCCATTTTCTGCCATATAACCCACAGAGTTAGCCTCTACGCCTGGATGTGTGTTCAGTGAGTACTTGTCAGGCACTAAACCTATTGCTGGAGACACAATGCATAGGTACTGATCAGAATAGGAGCATACACTCAACTTTTCTAAACACTAAACTTGACGGCTTCAAAAAATTTAACATCATGAATAACTTAAAAAATACATTACAATAAAATTCATATCAAATGCACCAAAGTAATTATCTTAAATCTTATTTATGGATACATTTCAAATCCTAAATCATCTACATCAAGGTAATAAATAAATATTTTATATCTTTTAATTTAACTTGAAAAATAATGTCTACACCAAACATTTATGTAAATTCTACAAATATAAATCTTAATGAGTAATTATTTAAACTATATTATTATGCTAATTGGTTATGCCCTCTGTTCTCTCACCAATTTGTCCTGTGTCACCTACATCAAGAATTTCAATTTCAAAGTAATTGCCGTAGTGATCTATAGAGTGGGCTGCAATGTACAAGCCAGGGGGATCCTCTGATACACCACTATAGCTGGAAAAGAAAATTGACGCATGGTTATACTCCATTACTACATTAATTTCTGCATTGAAAAAATACCAAAAAAAAAAGGTCTTTTAATAAAATATTTTGATGGGAATGTACTTTGCTACAAGGGCATATGGTGTTAAGTTCAACTATGACAACTGGCGTGCATGGTATTGTACATATCCACCTTTCCTTTCCCTGATTCTTTAAACATCAATCAGAACTCACTAAACTCAGGAAGTAAAATAAATGAGCTTGAATTGATGGAAAGCAAAAATTATCACTTTTAGTATAGAGAGCAGATGCTTTAACTATAAATAAAGTTATCATATTATTCAAATAAAAGGTACTAAATAATATTTTTTACCCATGAAAATATAAATTTTCTATTATTTAATACAATTTAAGAACATTTTCTTCTATTTTTCTAAATTTTATTTACTTAATTACTAGTAGACACTAGATAGTAAAATTTTACCTAAGAACATCCTCTTCTATTTTGATACGCTGAAATCGTGGCTCACTTCTTGCAGGGACTGGGCCAGGAACTCTTGGCAGCAATGGCCCTTGATAGTTGTATATTCTACGTCTACCTCTGTTGTTGATAACCTGATCATACTCTTGTTGAAAGTGTTGCATAGCAAAAGGCGGTCTGTCACGATGGTGATGTTGCAGCACTGCCCGGATACGTACTAGATCGTCCATATTTAACCAATTTAACTAGATTCATCCGTCTCTAAAATCTGTTTAATATTTACAAAAAATGAGGTTTTATCCACTGCTATCAATAAATAATGAATTAATTTTTCAACTAATAATTTGATTCACCATTTTTGGCACATTGATAAACATTTTTCAGTCTGGATTTTCCATAAAAATGCCACCTATCTATAACTTAAAAAAAAATGTATTATTCTTATAAAACCAAAATGTAAAGTCAAAACAGACTATTTTAAATATAGGCCTAAATAAAAAGACAATGTGTATTGATTATTACTGAATTATGAATACCTTATTGAAACCTTGTAAATGAACACACAATGTTTTGGCATATGAGAAGCTAAATCACAAATTGTGATGTTTTTAACGCAACTGACAAATTATGATGTAGCCTTAAAAACTTTATCAAATTATCAAAACAAGAAATTTGTATTCTAGAGATAATCCTATTCATAACCGACGCGTTTTATAATGTTAAATGGCCTATGCTTCATGAATATGATAAAACTGTGTTGATAGGCGATTAATAACATTTACGTTTACAGCGGTAACATATTCACAGGGTTACAATGACCTAACTAAAAGTCCCTGCCTACCATGAAATGTTTAAAGGTTTATAGAAGCCATAAACATAATTACTCAACATGAACACAACACCATAACTTGAGTGTTAAAATAATAAAATTACAGAGGAAATTGCAGAGGGCAGACTTGTTAGTACAACAGGCTATCAGTTTTGGTTAGGGCTATAGTGAAAACTTTACCTAATGAAATAGACAGGAAAGCCCACAAATGGGGATGGATTGGGCATACAGTAAGAAGGGAAGAGGATAACATCACGAGGAAAGCGTTAGACTGGAATCCCCAGGGGTAGGGGAAAGTAGACCGGCCAAGGAAGTCCTGGAGAAGGCAGTAGAAGATGAGGCTGTTGGGCTTATGTGGGCGCAAATAAACAGAGTCTGATGGAGCTGTGGTTGCAGCCTTTTGTTCTCTGGAGTCACAAAGGAATTTCAAGTTTAACCAAATCACCAATGTCTATGACTTAGTTTTTACAGACTAGACTGCGTTATTACTCATAAGAAATACACATTGGTTTTAGTTTTATTACATTGGGCCTATTAGTTAGGCCTAATGCTTTATTTTTAAATTGTTACAGAAAATGGGGGAATTTTTTTTTACACCAGTGTCCGATAATAGAATTTTCTTTAAAATAGGGGTGTTAGGGTACTGATAGTTAACTAAATACATGGCTGGCTAATGTCAATGCTAACCCTGTCCCTAACCCTACGTACCATGCGCCTAAACTTAATTTCTAACCATAAAATTAGTTGAGATTACAATATTACTACTAACAACCCTACACACCTATTTTATGGAAGAGTCTATCATCGGACATCAGTATCTAAAATCATCCTAGAAAACATTGTAACACACTTCGGATTATATAATATAAAAATATTTGAAACTTTGATTTCAAAATTTAAAAAGGCACATTTTCTTTTAAGTAGTGCACTTTAGTTGTGACTGTACTGTGAAGCTAACCTACTAACCTACATTTCTTATTTTCAAAGAAGATAGAATCACTGTTCATATTCAACAAGCTTACATTTTTTAATGATTAGGCTACCAATCATCATTATTATTATTCAGCCTAACACGCCGTGTTTCATTTAACAATAAGTTACAGTACGACATGTGTTAATCTATAGTATTTTAGTAAATTGGAAAATCTCAACGATTTCAAACCATGTCCTGCCGATGATGATGAGAGAAGAATGATTGAGATTGTGATTTAAAAATCTAAAAATATTAAAAAATGATTTTCAAAATAAATTAGAGCCTGTACCATGTGATTAAAATTTACCATTCATTTAGAATCTAAATGAAGAGAATCATATCACATAAAAGTTCTATTAAAAAAATCTTTTTCAACAGAACGAGACGTAAAATATCCGATTTCTGGACTGTACTAAAATTCCAAAAATAAACTTTTTTTTTCTAAATAACAGTGGAAATAACTTCCGTTTGAAAAAACGGAGTTATCTTGTTCTAAATACATATAAAAAATCGAACTGGTAGATCTAGATCTAGAATATACCGAAACGAAGATACAGCAAAAAATAAATAAATAGTGTGCCCTTTTATTGTGGGGAAAGAACAATTTAACTTTAAATAAATTAGCAGATCGATCTACGGGGAAAGTGGATAATCTTACCCCCTTAGAAAATAATAAATAAAAAACACTATCAGTCGAAATCGGTTTAGTCTATAAATCACTTCATATTCATAGAAGGGGTGCGGATAGAGAATTTTGTGACTAGGGAGGAGGGGGACTGGGGAGTAGGGGGTTCAAAAAATAAAACATTTCAAATAGTTATATTAAAGCCATATTAAAAACTAATTTAAGCCGTTATTACGCATTTTAGTAGACTTTAAAAAAAACACGGATGGATGAAGGCTTATAAGTATAAGGAATGTTGTATTATAGCTAGGGTGGTGGTCTATGCGGGGATCTTGTGTTATGTTTGATAACGTTATATGATGTAGGAAGTGGCTTTTAAAAATGTCACATTTTCTTTTTGTGTATTATGTGTGCCCTCCCCCTGAAGAGATACATGAAAGAAACTCTGCTCTCTCTATATATATAACATGCCTTCATTGCCGGCTCAAGCTTTCGCCCAATAGCCTGGCTGATTTGAGCAGCGTTAACGATCATTTCTTTCAATCCTGTTGTTTTTGTGGGCTCCACTAGGCTTTTGCTTCGCACCTCTTATTTTGCGAATGAGCCCGGCTTCCGAACTTGTGACTTCCGAGCTAACGAGTTGCTAGACCACGCCATCCCCATTATTTTTTCAATATTAACGTGGATAGTGGAGACGCTTAATCACACGTATTATGTAACAATGCTCCGGAGGTCGTCCAGAAACAATGTAAATCCAATTTAAGACAACTCCCCCTTCCCAATATTCGGGAAAATTTAGCTTACATTTTTTTTGGAAAAGGGAAATAACCAGACTAAGCTGAGTTTTCTGAAAATATTAATTTAGTAGTTTCCCTTTGTACGGAAATTTGATCAACAATTGATCCGTTGAATTATTAGATGTATTAGCAAGTTCATAAAATTTTTTTTAAAAAAAAAGCTAAAATTCTGTTTAAATTAACATTTTAAAAATGCAAGTGTAACTTCATACTTCCTTACCCATCCACCAGCCCCCCCCCTTCCCCCACGTCACCCACCATATGCCACACATTATCACAAAAACTCCTTTATGGATGATCCCTGCTCAGTCTCATTAATCCATTTGATACAAAAAAGCATCTAAATTCTAGAATGGAAGTATAAAGTACACAGATGGTTAACATACAGGTGTTGGAACATGGCTCACTTTAGGTCTAATAGCACTGATTTAATGCAATGACCCAAGATTAGGTGTGATGGCTCAAGGCTTAGTGTATTGAACTGTATTGACCAGATTAGCTGTGATGACCAGATTAGGTTACCATTTTTTGTAATAACCCAAGATAAGTTGTGAAAGCTCAAGAATTAATGTAATGACCCAATGTTAACTTTAATAACTACAATAAGGATAATGACCTTTATTAGGTTTAGATTTATATTTTATAGTAATGACCCAAAGTTGTGTGCAATGACTCTAGGTCAATTGAACTAGAGGCGTAGCGACGGGGGGGGGGGTGCAAATCGAAAGTTAGGGGGGTGCAAATAGAAAATTGAAAGTCTGCACCCAAGGGGGCGCCAAATTGAATGGAAGGGTCGCTCTGAATTGAACCAAATTTCTGTGGCATGACTTAAGATTAGGTATAATGATGTAAGTTTTGGTACAATAAAAAGCATCTTACATTTATGTACTGTGATGTAGTTAAAAACCTTAACTACTGGGTTGAACTCAAGATTTTCAAGTCTCCTGTATATTTCTTCAGGAAACACAATACACCAAGCAGTAAACCATCCCTCTTCCCAATCTAACTATTAGCCATTTACACTTTGAAAAATTGCATTCATTAAAGTAGTCTGCAATCATACATTTTATAACAAAACCCTAAAATAAATAAGATATTCTAATTTTGAAAAAGAATTGTGAGAAAATTTGAGTCAAAATGGAGTCATCAGCTATAATAAAAACACAAGACTTGTTCCAGGAAAATTAAATTTACTATTAAACTGTAAGATCATATTTGAGGGCCACAGGCTGGTGCCCTCTCAGCCCTCAATTTAATCCACGCTGGACCTGCTGTAGTAATAGTTCAATTTCATCTCCCTATTACTGCTTGATGACTTGAAAACATTTGTTCAGTAGTTTCAGCCAGTATTCTCTTAGTCCTCTGTTTCAATCACATAACTAACCTTCTTAAGGTTTATTCTACTTGAACTACATTTTTTTGCAATTTAAACTTAAATTATTTTTTTTTAAATAAACATGTTTATAAAACTTTTTTTTAGCTTATCAACATAATTTCGTGTGAGTTCAAATCGTATAATGTAAAAGTAAAGTTCCCTTTTCAAACCTGACGGTCAATAGGGCAAGTGAAGTAGAGTTCACTTGTTTCTGTGACCTCAGCATATGAACAGATAGTGTGGTCAGCAATATGCCCAGCCGCCTTTACTTTCCCTAACGTGAGTTAGGTACCCATCAGAGTTGGGTGGACTCAGGGGTGGTCTAGTGACTTGAAATCGTCTTCGAACTCGAGACTTACGGGTTAGTAGTCGAGCTCTCTACTGCTAGACTTTGTTCTATCCTCTAATGTAAATTTAAGTAATAATGTATGGTTTAATTAAATATTTAAGCGCATTTTGTTTTAAAAGTTGGATTTCATTAAATTAGAAAATATTAAAATTTAAATTCTTATTGAAAATAATCGATAAGACACAGATAAAAATAATAGTAAATTTATTTTGTCATTGAAATAGAGAGAAAGAGGAAAAACAATACAAAAGAGAAAATAAAAAAGCATGTTAAACAGAACAAAGCAACAAATGATATCAACTCTTCTGATTGGCTAGTTAATCTGTTGGATAATAATGATCAGCCATGGGACACAAAATACTCTCATATGTAACAAATGGATTAACACACCCATACAAAAGACACATAGTTTTGTATGCAACTATGTGACATGCCCGAAACACAAGCCAACAAACAATTATTATGTTAACATAATAATTAATAAAGTAGCAAAGTTTTTAGTACATATACGCTCTTCAAGGAGATATTTTCTAAGGGATATACTCTATAAAACATTGCAAAATAAATGTAAAAAAAAGGTCATTTACCATGATCTTCAAAGATCTAAAAAGATCATTTTAAGATCATAGTTTGTTACACGTTTATATAGTTTCCTAATTACAAATCTCATTATATAAATTTACATACATTACATGTACAAAAATGGATTATCATATGAGGTCTATACATATGGATCAAGTAGTTATATGTTAAAAAAAAAACACAACAGAAAACTGCCTTCTGATGCATTTTCAATATTTAATAAAATAAAATAATTAGCACGCTCGTTCTTGTATTTATCATGAGAGAGTTATTCATTGAGGAAAGGAATAAAAAGAAACTTCCACAATAAATAAGAACACTTATTTAAGGAAAATAATATTTTTGTTGTTCTATTATAAAATAATTATTATACAACCAGCAGAAGATTAGGAACAAAGGGAGTTAAGTACAGGAATGCTGATCAACTCTTATTAAAGTGAGATTTGTTTTCTCTAAACTAAGTATTACTTTATAACACAGGTATTCTTAAAGCTTACTGTTGTATTATGCTAAGCAGGTTGCCTATGTAGTTAGACCTAAAAACAAGTCTGGTCTAAAAACTTAAAAACTAAACATAAAATCAACTATTTCCAGCAGTGGCATAAATGTATTTGTACAAACAAACAAAAGAAAGTTTTGTTAAACATTATTATGCTAATCGCAATGAACAAATTATCAACCAATAAGAATGGCACATATTTAAAATATTTATACCCTGTGGAATAGCTTCCCAATGCTAGTTTATAAAAAAAATAGAGCAGAATATTTATTTAAAAAAAAAAAAATAATTGTGGTTTGTCAAATTTATGTAAATGACCCTGTCAAGAGTTTTATAACTTTTAAAATTGAAAAGTGGTTTAATACAAAGACCTAGTTTAAAAAGTAATGATTAAATTATCAAGAATGAACTTACTAGAAATATGATTTAGCTTTGATAGATTACGTGAGAATTACGGTTTTAAGTTCTTATTCTTAAAGCCAAACAACAGCAGCATTAAACAAAGAAAATAACAAAACTACTGCATGGGAGTGGATCCCCCCTACACAAACTTTCACTGTAGCAAGCAGCACCAGCAGTTAAAAAACATTTTTACCATTACTGAAGCTCTCACTTTTAAGTTGTTATGTATCACAATAATGGGTAACAAACAGTCTGACAGTCACAACAAACAAGCCACTTATCATAAAGGGCGTTAACTCATGTTTCACTTGATAAGGGCAACAACTGATATTTAGCTCGATGAGTTTAAACCAACAAGTGAATAGTTAAGTATCAATATACATTTCTGTTCAAGAAAATAAAAAAAAACAGATTAGCTTTATTTTTTTCAAACATTGCATGGAAGAAAAGAAAATCCATTTGATATGTTATTATAGGTAAAAGAAAGCCATGAAAATAATTTTAGCTGAATAAAACTTAAACATGCATGAATCGAACTGGTGCACATCGTTGCTGAGATTTCTGTTACCTGTTGTTACATTATGTACAGCTCTTTCATTGTCCATTGAACATGTTTAATAAATTTTCTTGCGCACAAATATACAGGCTCCTAAAATAAACTAGTATATGATGAGATTAGGATTAACGTTGTAATCAACTTGACAATCATCTGTAAAAAGCTAACTGTTAAACTTTTTTAAAATAATTTTCAATGGCGCCATTTTATTTTAAATTGTATTAAAAAAAACCATTAAAATGAAATTACTGATTTTTAAAAATCGGTTTCTAATCTAACAATAAATTCTTTTTTTTTTCTATTGACTTTTGATATGCTGATTACAAGCATTAGACCAAATGTGGACTAAAATTTACTAATGTCTGAAAATGTCTAGCAAAGAACCTACTAATAATTGTAATTCTCGTATTTTGCATAACAAGATAAAAACCATATTAAAAATGTAGTATTACAGTATTATGAGGCCTTCTGTAAAGATTAAATTTATTTCTTTTACTCTTTTCCCAACGGATGTAATTAACATCATTTTAATTTCTAAATACCCATAAATTTTAAATTGTTTAAAATGAGAACAAATTTAACATTCAGGTTGATTATTTTGGCAAAGATTTTTTAACGAAGCTTGAACTTATGTAAAGATAACATCATTTAAATGTTGGCTTGAGATCAGTGGAGTGTGTATTCAATTGCATAGGTTGATACAAGATGTTCATTATTTTATTTAAAATAAACTTTATTGTAGAGATTTGAAAAGCAATAAAAATTTTAATTAAAATTATACCAAAATTTTTTTTTCACTTTACTGATTTCGTTTAAAAAAAAATCTTGCAATTCAAATTTTTTTTGCAAAAGCTGTTAAAAATTATATCAACAGATAGGTTTAGCTGAAGAAGTTTCGACATTTTTAAAAAACCATGGTGTTACAAAAAAAAAGTTATTGTGAGGACATTATGTACAGCTGAATAAAACTAGACCCATTCATGTGTGAAATACAATTCAGGCTGTTAGATGTGTAAACTGAGATCTCAATGTGATTTGTCTGTACACATTTTTCATTGGCTCCATTACCAAAGATTAAAGCAAAGAGTTAAAGATCAAAGAGGCTTACTTCCCCTGAACACAACATTATTAATCAAAGCCTAATAATTTAAAAAAAAAAAATTTAAACTAGAAAGGTCATGTGTACATTTTAGAAACATATTCAGCAGGTTTAGGAATAATTAAAAAAAAAAAAGTACACAAAATTTTTTACTGTAAAATAAAAAAAAAAATTGAATAAGAAAACTGAGGTGGCAAATGAGATCACTTGAGGTGAGATAGGACATAGAGAAGAAAACAAATAGATTCAAAGCTGCAGCAACCACACAACACGCAATAGCCTCCAATTAATCATCACTGTAAGGCACAAGTTTAAGGACTAACATGAAACATCACCTGATAGACAGAAGAAAAAAAAAAATTGTAATATACAGCTGTCTGTAATAATAATTTACAATGCAAAAAAAAATTTTTTTTTTAAAAACCTGTTCTACTAAAATAATTTTCATAATGACTATTATAGGTAAAAATCAAAACAATCAACTTGATTGAAAAAAAAATTTGAAAATTGAAAAAAAAAAAAGCAGAATAACTGCTTTATTTAGGTACAACATTTCTTTTTTAAAGAAGAGTGTGAATTACCCAAAAAGATACTGATATTATACAAGTATTACAGATGACAGCTATACCCTGTAGTATTACAAAGAGATCTTTTCATTGTTTCATTAATTAGCCTGCAGCATTTTACAGATGCCAACAAAATGGGTGTAGATATGGTGTGCTAGTTAGAGAGTTTAAGTGGATATGTTCACTCTTTTTACATCAACGATGTCAAATATTTTCACAAAATAAAATTTAAGCATATAAATTAAGCTCCAAAAAAAATTAAACAGTTAAGGTATTGCCATTCAAAAGGGGTTTAGAAATATTTATACAATTCTCAGACTCTTAAATTTTAAAAATCTTTTGTTTCACAAAAAAGTCATAATCCTTCCTACTTTTATAAAACTGCTGGGACTGTAGCAACCAATCTTACAAAAAAATTACCATTGTTTAGAAAGATATGAATGCATAACTTCAACACATTGATATTATCAACAACAAATTTGTCACAGCAAAGAATTCAATCAGTTTCTCTGCTACATTGTGTACATCAAACTATCAAGGGAGATAAATTGCTGTATATAAACTAGTAAGGGAGATAAACCATAGATGTTACAGTAACTTATATAGGTGTTCACTTCAAACCAAAAAAAAAATTGTGTAAAAGGATTAAAGTAAGATGTCCAGTTGAACTAATTATACATACTAGGGACCAAAAGCTAAAAAAAAAATGTATGATATAATCCACTCCAAACTGGTCTTTTTAAAAAATAAATCAATTCACATATATCCATATGTTGTCATGTTTGTTGATAACCATCAGATCCATCACTGAATGAGTTTATCCAAATGTCATGTGTTGTATTTACACTGAAAATTGTCACTGAAATTATTTAACACTGATATGAGCAGTAAGTAATGCATGACGGTCGAGTCAGTAATGCAATGGCGGTCGGTTAGGGACTGTAGTTTCTCACATGATGCGGCAACTATTTACAACAAGTATCTACAACGAGTATCTAAGTCGGTCTCAGCTAGGCCCTGGCATCATGCCGTACGGTTGGCCCGGTCCGCCCATCATGCCGGCCATCATCTGACGAGGATGGCCCCTGGGGGGACCTGAGGAGTAATAGTCCTGCTGGTAGCCTGGGTACTGCATCCCACTGTACTGTCCAGGTCCCATGGGCATCCCGCCCATCCCTGGGCCGGGCATCCTCATCCCCGCCATGCCCGGATGTCGTGGCATGGCACCGTGGGGCATGCCTGGTCCATGCATGTGTCCCATGTGGGGGGGCATAGGGCCAGACATTGAGCTATGAGGTGAGGGGACTGGCATCGGGCCGTGAGGAGATGGCCCTCCCATAGGCCCGTGTGGGGACGGCCCTCCCATAGGGCCATGCGGCGAGGGGCCGGACATTGAGCCGTGAGATTGTAAAGACATCTGTGGAGGTCCTTGCATGTGGTGAGGTGAGGACCCCGGCATGCCTCCAGGAGGCATGGGGCCATGCATGGAGGACCCCGGCATAGGTCCATGAGGTGCCATTAGCGGTGAAGGTCCTCCTGAGGACATAGGTCCGTGCGGGGAGGACACCGGCATCTGGTTGTTACCCTGCATCATCATGGCTGCGTGAGCTTGGGCCTGCGCCTGAGCCTGTTCTATAGAAGGTCCGTTATTCATATAGCCGCCCATCCCTGGTATGGGAGACACACACTCCAAGCTCCCAGGCCCCATCCCAGGCGGCATCTGCCTCATAGACCCAGGCGAGTGGCCCGGCCTCATCCCCATCATGGAGTCTGGTCCTCCCATCATAGGCCCACCACCCATCGGGCCAACCATATGTCCGGGATTATCCATCGGCCCCATTCCCATTGAGCCTCCCATACCGTGGCCCATGCCCATAGAAGATGGTGGCATGTTTGGGCCGTTCCCTTGCAAGGCTTGAAGATCAGGTATACTGGAGCTGCGCATCATCGACGCAGACTGGTGCATGGCTATTGTAGCTTGGTTTGCAAACTCAGGGCCCATGGCGGCAGCGGCTGAGAGGGCGCTCGACATCTGTGGACGGTGGCCTGTTGGTGAAGAATTAGGAAAGTACTGTAAAGTTGATGGGGGGTTTTTCCCATCCATGTTGTGTAGAGGTGAAGGGTAGCGTGGCATGCTGTAGTCTATGTCGGATCTTTGTTTGGCTGATGAGGGCTGGGATGAGGGGGGGTTGGCAGGCAGGTACTGGATGGTGTTGTGGCCCTTCTGCTGGATCTGCACGCTGGAGTTGGAGCTGGAGGTGATGGGGAACGAGGGGGAGGTGACGCCGCTCATCGAGGAGCCTGAACCACTGCTCATTTGAGCGTGTGAGAGGGGAGGGCTTGTGAACTGACCGCTCTTGGTCATGGTGGGTGGGGTGGGGGGCATGCTGGAGGATGAGTTTGGTCTATGTGGAGGCATGGGGCCTACAGGGTTCATACTCGCGGGCATGGGCCCCGAGGGCATGAGAGGACCAGGGCCCATCCCGGGGCTGGGCACGCCAGGCATGGGCCCCATGGAGGTCATCATGCCCTGAGACTGGGCCAAATGGTGAGACATCCCTGGTCGGGGCCCTCCGGGTCCCATCATTCCGGGGCCCCCCATCTGAGGTCCCATCCCATGCTGCATGCTACAGGGCGGCATGTTCATGTGTGGTGACTCGGTGCTCATGCTCTGCATCTGCATGCTGACGTAGCTATTCATAGAAGGGTGGTTGGGCACGTTGACCTGGGAGATGGACATGTTGGTGGCGATGTACGTGTTGTTGACGCTGGGGGTGCTGGGGGCCTGGGATGATGTGACGGATCCTGAATGGGATGACAATGTGGATGATGATGTCGTGGCAGCTGCGGCGGCGGATGAGCTGTTGTTTGAGTTGCTGTTTGCATTGTTGGTATTACCACTACTGCTGGTCATTTGGCCTTGGACCTGGATACTGTGGAAAGGTCCACCTTGCATCATATTCTGCTGCATCTGGTTTGATAAGTTCTCAACTCCTTTAGCCAGGTTGGCTAAACTTGCCGAGGTGATGTTTGACATCGAGGAGGATGATTTAGGGTTGGGCGTGTGCGGGGCGCTGTTCACCCCGTTACTGAGTGGCGTGGGGTCAAAGTGCGAAAGTCTCATGCTTGCTCCGGCGTTGTTGTTGTTGTTGGTGGTGGACGAGTGCGGGGTTGCCGGCCCAGGGGGAAGCTGATGTGGGGATGGCCCAGCGGTCGAAACGGCTGGGGAGTTGGCCATATGGACAGATGTTTGGCTGGAGTTGGAGTGAGGTCCCTTGTTCGAGCCCGGCCCGTGAAGTGGGGAGTTGGCGTGGCTGTTGTACAGGCCAGGGGTGGTGTTTGGGCCGCTGCCCACTATAGGGCCTATACTGTTAGATTCGTCGCCTCCGTTCCCGGCTACAAATGCGGAGTTAAGCTGTTTTGTGATAGTCAATTCCTGGCCTTCAAACTGGCTGAGGTGATAATGTATTTTAGTCGGTGATGGCGTCTGCTGTAAGTTACCTTTGGCGTAGGAATCATCAATGTCATCCCCCCTCTTTCGTTTCTGTGCCTGTGCATAGCTGGGGGGAGGTTTGCTACTGTTGTTGTTGCCTGATGGAGTTATAGGGGGGACAACCCCGCCCATTGTTTCAGGGTTAAACTGCTCAGGGTTACCTGCCCTATGTAAAGTCACTTGGTTGGGACCTTTCATGCCTGGCATCATCCCATTAGGTCCCATCATATGGCCCTGGCGCATCGGCCCGTGGCTGCGAGGGCCGCCAGACCCAGGACCCATAACAGGTGGCATTCCTCCCGCCATTGTCGGGTCGAACCCGGGATCCATCGGCCCCTGAGGTGGCATCCCATGGGGTGGGTATCCATGCATCCCAGGCATGGGCTCCATGCCCATATGCGGAGGCCGGCACATATCCGGTGGACCGCCATACATTCCCATGCCATCCGGATCCATCCCTGGTCCCATGGGACCGTGGGGTCCATGTGGCGGCATGGGCATCCTCATCCCATTCATGGTGGGTGACGCCGGGCCCATGCTCCCGTGTTTCTGGGATATGGATGAGTAGTAAGACGGAGGGGGCCCGGGCTCCATATGAGGTGGGCCCCTGTTGGCCATGTGGATCCGGTGCTGTTTCTCCATGTAGTAATCTCTTTGTATCTGGAACCAGTCATGCTGTGCCTGGTACTGAAACAAACAAGATGGCAGTTAATAGATGAATGCATAGAAGATTTAAGCATCTTAGTAATTAAGCACTGAACCGACTTAATAAATGAATACATGTCTTAGTACTTAAACATTGAAGAGATGTAATATATAATTACATAGATTTAACAACTTGTTCTTAAATATTGAACAGACTTAATATATAAACAATCTTTAGAATCGAACTGACTACTTTTTAAGGCATATTATATACCAGTGATACTAGAATTTAAAAAAATTTAAACCTCTTGTTTCATGTGTTATGTTGGGGTAGTCTGTAAATAAGCACAATGTACAATAACTCACTAGTACAATTTGAACTTGAGTTTTGTGTTTACTGTACTCTTTATTTAGGACACTCTTAACTAACATTATTAAAAAATTTAATGGCATTGTATATTTAAAATTATATGTTAGTCATTGCATTTGTACTTTCTTGATAGAACTTGCTTTGTGAAAAAAAATGTGACAAATGCTGTAATGATTGATTATATTGTGAAGTTCAAAGGTTTCAATTAATTACTTAATGATTGTGTCATCTGCATATGATAAATAAAATTGAACTTTCACAAATCATTAGGAGATAAAAAAAGGTTTGGTATAAAACCAAATACTGATACATTATTTGAAGTATTATCTTTAATTGCAGCACATACAAACCTACTTCAGTGAATAATTGTATAAAGTGTTGAAAAAAAACCGTAAAACTATGGTGGTAAAGAATTTAAATATTTAAGATTGTATGTATGTAATGTAGATAGGTATTACAATATAATAATATATGTATGTAATGTAGATAGGTATTACAATACAATAATATATTTATATACAGGCAAATTTATCCTGATACACATAAAACAGAAACCTAACCTGTTCTTTTCCATTCATTCCAGGGCCCATGCCTGGTGGCCCCCGTGGGCCGTACGGTGACATTCCCTGCTGGGCCATCATATGCTGATGTTGCGGAGACATCATGCCGTGGGGGTGCATCATCCCCCCTTGTGACATCATAGCTTGCTGCTGTGACATCATGGCCTGCTGTTGTGGTGACATCATCCCGGGGCCGCCTGGGTACATACCCGGCCCACCTGGATGGCCATCCGGCCCCATGGGAGGCTGGCCGCCGTCGTGCTGTCCGTTGCCTCCCATCAGCATCTGGTGTATTTTAGTGAGCTGTGACAAGCCTTTAGCCCTATGCTGCCTCTGTTCTAGCGTCAGGTTCTCATCCGGTACTTGACTGGATGAAATGTTCGGATTATGGTGCCCAGCCATCATCATCTCATTTTCCATATCCATCATGCTAGGTTTATATCCACAAGGACCCATCTGTCCGTGGCTATGCGGGTGAGGTCCACCACACCCTTGGCCTGGCCATCCGCCCATCATTCTCGGCCCAGGGCCGCCTGGTTGGTAAGGTCCGTTGGGCATCATTCCACCTGGGCCCATCATGTTGGGATCTTCCATTCCTGGGCCGGGGGGCATCTGAGGGCCCCAGCTGGGTGGCATTGGGCCATGCATGCGCATCATCCCATGCCCTGGCTGGCCTTTCATCCCACCCATCATGTTTGGGGCCATTCCTTGACGATAGTTGGCCTTTAATGGATTCTTCTGTTGATAAATAGAGCAATTATTAACATCAGATTTATGCAAATAATTTAATCCATTAATTATAAAATATAAATAAGTAGATCTAAAAGAAAAGTTTATACATAGTTTTTTTATAATTATTAACATAAAAAATAGTTTTCCTTTTCTGGTTTGTATATTAACAATAAAGTAAAAAAATACATATATTTTTTAACATAGTAAACGTTAAGCTTGTTTATCATATCATATAAACTTCAACATTAAAAACATGAAATAAAACATTTTTTCCTGCTAACTGAAATATAGTAGGAAAAAAATCATAAAATGCTGGATTACTAAATCTAGCTTTGATTAACATGGAAGCCAGACCTATGAAACGAATACACCCAATGACCTAACCTGCAAGAAAGCCTTTGTCTCAGGGTGGTCCATGTGAAACTGTAGAATAGATTTATAATGGCCCTGTTGAACACTCTCTGCTGCCTGATTAGCCATGTTAGTAGAGAATACAAAAATTTCACTCTGTTGCTGCATAAATGGCGGCTCAAGGGAGGCCACCATGCCGTGCTGAGCAGACATCATAGTTGCCGGGGTTGTTCCCCCTGACGATGGGTGCTGGGGAGTGCTTGGTTGTGGGGAAGATTTTTGGCTGTCTGTCCCCAAGCATCCAGCCTTGCCATTTTCTTTCTTGCTATCTAAAAATGTAAAAATAAAAATTGATTAGTTTAATTAACTCGTTAAATAACTCAATGTTTAAATAGTTTTGATGCTTTATAAAATGTAAAATAATTTATTAAAAAATTAAATACCGCAAATGAATTGCCACTGGAATCTCAACAGAAATATCCTATTTAATAGGTCTCTTAATTCTTAAAGAATATATAAATTATACTTAATAATACTTAACACTAGCTATTAACAAAAATTACATCACTAAATCTATAAGACAGTTAAAATTATAATTTAAAACAGCCAGCATTAAGAAAAAAATAAAAATTTGAAACACACTGTAGCAAGGTTATTTTTTTGTACTTTGGTACAATTTTTAAAGTGAAGTTCACCTTTTTTGGATAGTGGGCCCATTACATTTTCCAACAACAAAATGTGTTTATGAAAAAAATAAGTGCATTGATAGTGGGAGCTTAGTCTTGATAGTTCCCTTTTTTAAACCTGACTGCCTATAAGGCAAGTGAAGTAGAGTTAACTTGTTTCTGTGACCTCGGCTTATGAAGAGATAGTGTGGTCAGCACTATGCCCAGCCGCCTTTACTTTCCCTAACGTGAGTTAGGTACCCATCAGAGTTGGGTGGACTCAGGGACGGTCTACTAACTTGAACCTGGATTCGAACTTGAGACTTTATGGGTTAGCAGTCCAGCTCTCTACCGCTAGACAACTTCACTTTAATATTAACGATGTAGCTGTGTTTATCGTTAAAGACATTCAAGCTATACAGCTGATTGGCTTTCATAAACTAAAGATACAACAACTACCTGAGGAAAGCTACTTTCATTTACTAAGTGAAGATTTTTCTTTGAATCACTCTGGACAGCTAACCCTTACATAAAGATTCAGGTCTTGGTTTTTCTTATCTTTAATAATTATGTCCATCCCAAAAAAAAAAAGCAATCATTTTAACTCATCATCATTATCATATCACATCAGTAACATGAAACTTTTTAAAAATGCTTCTTCCACATTCTTTTATCAGTATAGACACTTGGGCTTTAAGGGCATGGTGTGGTGTTTTGAATATATATGTGACTGTGTAGGTATCTATCCATATATCTATCTCTCTCTATATATATACACACACACTCCTATCTGTGTATAAATGTTATATAAGCATATATTTAAGTGGATGTAAAATCCTAAGTAATCTCAGGGCTACAAAATAAGCCTCTGCTTTCAATGAATTATCTTAACAATTTTATTTCCTGAAGCCCACCATCCTAACCCTCCTCCCCCCCCCCCCCCCCCCAACAGCACACAGATATTGTCAAACCCAGCACACAAAATCCTTCAATTTCAGATGGAAGACAGGTGTAAAAAAAAAAAAAACTCACCACCATTCCCCCTCCTTCCCTCCCCCTTTAATCCTTGCCCACCTGAAAAATGAACATCCTGTCTACAGGCTATGTTGCTGTGGCAACCAATCAAAGACAGGCTTTTAATTCATGTTCCAGCAGAAAGAAAGAAAGAAAGAAAAAAAAAATTTCTCTGGACGCTGGAGAGCAGCTTGACAACTAAGTAATAACAGGATTATAATTTCTGAGTACTCCACTAATGCACGGTGAACAGCAATGATTTCAGATTTTTTTCTTCTCTATCCTCTGTTTGAGTACACCAAGCTGCTACAAACAGCAGCATTATATCTCCACATACAAGCTGTTAATTTAATTAATTCATCAATTATTATAATTAGTTTTGCTATCTAAAAAAAAAATCAAGTAACTTGTATGTATCCCCCTCTTTTCCTTATCATACTAATCAAAATGTTTTGTAAACTAAATTTTAAAGACAAATAAATAAGCTGTTTCAAAACTGTTTGTTTTAATTTTAAAAAGGTTTAGATTCTTGATATTCATCATATTAATTAGTAGCACAAATTGTTTTTCTGTTTCAATGTTTGATAAAACAACTTTTTTTTTGTTTTTGACTAGAGCAAATTAAATTGTGAAATCTATCTTTCTTGACTCATTAAAATAGCAATAATTGTAATACTGGAGTGCGTAATCCTTTTTTTTTAAAAGTAAAATGTATACAAGCCATTTTGAAATTAAATCAACTAATTTTTTAACTAGCTGGATAAAATTCTACAAAAATAACAACATACCAATTAAGAATACTGTCAATTAGCCATATCAATTATTTATAAGGCTAAAACTACAGAAAATATATTTTGACCTCCCATAACCTTTAAGGGTTTAAAGTATACAGAGAAGCCTGATATAGGAACAAGTGGCAAAGGCTAACCTATACAAGCCATACAAAAGTTTAGCTTGTGCTTTCATATCTCCAGCAGGGTAATACTGTGACTTATGTATGGATTATCAATGAAAGCCAAACTAAAGTTGGCTTGGTACTTAAATAATACAGGTATTTTTCTGCCAAAGATGCAGTTTTTTATCAGGGTTATGAATAGGGCTAGCATAAGATTGTTAGAATAGCAATACTTCTTTTAAAAAATGTAGCGGGCTATCAGAAAATTCAATACAGAAGTTCATCAAGCTTTTAATTAACATAGAGTAGTGTAGTACTATGAGACGGCATGGTCAGATGGTAGAGCTTAAGACAGCTAACCCAAAAGTCTCGAGTACGAATCCCGGGTCTGTAGGATATCCCAGAGTCCACACAGATGAGTACCTGACTCACATGAACTAAACTAAGACAGCTGGACATAGTGCTGACAACAAAATCCCACTGTATACCCAGGACACTGAAACAGATGAACTCTACTTCATCTTCCCCATGTGTCTTGAACACGAACAAAGAAAAAAAGATGATGCGTGCAGCACTATAAAAGTACAAGCCACTATTCCCTGGTGAAACTTCTCCTACACCCTGACTTACTGTTGTCATTCTTTTTCTCCAGTTTAATCCTCTTGTTGTTGTTGTCCTCGGATTTCACAGCCAGTGTACTGTCTGCAACACAAGAGAAACAATGGGTCATCTTAACCAAGAGTAACAAGGTCAAGGTCACTTGGCGTTTATAACTAAATTACGAAATTTGGTGTTTCATGTAAGTTAAATTATTAATTACCAGAATTTCCATGAGATTTGAAATTTCATAAATTATTACCAAAATTTGCATACATTTTTTTTAAAAAAAATCAGTCTCTATACAATTACAAAAAAATTACCAGAATCTCCGTTAGGTATTTTTCTAGATGGTGGCCGTATGTCCGTCGACTTCCTTCCATCCTCCTCCTTCACCTCCGCCTTGACGTCCGCGCTGTCCAGCTTGCTTACTCCCCCTGCCACCGCGTCCTGGGCAGGGCCGTTGATTCCAGGCTCCCTCAGCATCTTGCTGGAGTCGACCCTCTCCTTCATGTTGACCAGAGTCCCAACCCTCCAGGTCGCCCTGACCCAGCCAACTTGTCACTGTAGGCTGGCTAGGCCTACAGCAGGTGTACCATCTGGCATGTTTACATTAGTGCCTCAACTCCTGATGGCGAAGAATTTTCCACGATTATTTTTTTTTTTGTGAAGAAAAAATAATTCTAATATCCACAGAAAACAATTCACAAAATAAATCTAAATTATGAATTGAATATTTCCAGAAGAAATAAACATAAATCCAAATTTCCAGAAAACACTATAATTAGGTTATTGCAAATTCAAACTAGAATTCACACATGAAACAAATACTATCAATTTGAATTCTCCAAACTAATCTCCTTTATTTATCCGGGAAAATATAAATCCAATTTATTTCTTATTAAAAATGTAAAAATCCAATTCTTATTCATAGATGTGATAGGACAAATCCCAGGAGCAATGTAAAATCCACAGAGCAGCTGAATTATGAATCCAAATGTTACAAAGTTTAGAGCTTTGTGATAATATATTTTCCTCTCTTATTGTTATCAGCACTATTTAACAGCCCTATAGCTAAACTGATCAAGCATGGATCAAACAGACTGCTAGTTTTCCAACATGATCAATACTTTAAGAACATCACTGATTTACTTTCTCCTTTCTTAAAACTTAATCCAAAATTTTGATAATCCACAATGTAAACAGAGGACATCTGTTGCTTGTAGACTTGTGGAGCCTGGGTGAAAGCTGATTTTTTATTTTTTGTGTGCGGCAACAATGAAATAATCTGAAGCTGTCATACGATGACTTAGTGGATGCCTTTTTGATGAGTTATCGTCAGCAAAACACCTTTGACAATCTGAAATGAAAATAATGTATATTAACAATATGTATAAAAAATCCTTTTTATGGAATTTAAATTTGGTGTGGTAAGTTTATCATGGGATTACTAGATCTATGTAAGAATGACAACAATGTGCATTGTCCATTTGGTGTACTAGATAAATACCGCTAACATAAATATGGCTTGATATAGTCAAATATGTGCTAAATGATGGACTAACTAGAATGACACTTGACCAAGGGGGCAGTGGGTGAGTAGATGAGACTTAATATATGAGAGGGGTGAGGGGGTGCAGTGATCAACCCAACACAAGAGATTTAAAATGAAAGAAACTCCATAGAGATTTGAGCAGAGTAAACTAAAAGTAGTGATAGGAAGTGCACACACATCAAACTGTCTGGAATATTCAACTTGAAGGTTACCCCAGCTTTCTGAATAATTCTGATAATAGGCCTATAGACTATAGACTATTTAAGGAAATTTTAAAGTCTAAATTACTTGGTGATATTCAATCCACTTGTGTCCATTAGCCATTAGCAGATGTAATCAGCTTTTCATCCTATTAATTATGTTGGTGTAATAATTGTCTGTGATGTTTGAATTTTTATTATTAGGAAAAAACTGAATCCAGATTAGAATTAGACTGAATTAGATCTATAATGAACAAAGATCTAGTCTAGAATCTAGAATCTAGATCTAGATTAGTAGAGTAATCTAGATCAAAAGCCTAGAATGGATAAATCTCATTCTCATTTCATTACTTCTCTAAACCTAGAATCTAGATTAAGATAAGTTCTAGAGTCTAGCTAGATTCTAGAAATAAACTAGACTAGATCTAGATAGATAGTCCTAGAGTCTAGAGTCCTAGAGAAATACTTTGAATTTAGTAGAGATTTTATTTTTCTAGATTCTAGAATCTAGATCTAGTAGATCTAGTAGTAGATCTAGGAATTCTAGATTTAGATAAATAAATTACAATTAGATTTAGATTAAATTAGGCATAAATTCAAATGATTAAACAATTAAATACATAAACTTGACTTAAAGAATCTAGATCTAGATCTGGAAAAAAGTAGATCTACATTTAGAATTACTAGAATTAGATTCTAGATCTAGACTAGATTCTAGATCTAGATTCCACTCCTTCGATGTTAAAGAAAGATTATGAAAAGGGAGAAAATGCTGACTAGATTCTATCTCTAGACTAGACCATTCTCCAGTTGTATTCACATTGACCACTAACCAGATGATTATTTAAAAGACAGATCTAGAAGACTAGATCTAGCATCTTATGTTTGTTTAAGATTGTCATGTTCCCAATGTTATTATTTTCATAATCAGCTGGTGAAAACTGACTCTCTACAAATCAAAGACCAAAAGGTTTTATTAAAAACTTGAAGTGACCTTGCTGACACCAGCCTTACCGGGGTCAGAGGTCATGGCGGTAGATTCGTTTAGGGACAAAGTGAAAGAAGCCGGTGCCAAAGTTCAAAGGGGGGAACAGTTTTGTGAGGGGGGGGGGGGGGGGGGGGGGGGCAAGCCAGGTTATAGGGTGTGTTGTTGGTAGGAGTATGGATAGGAGAAGGGGGAGATCTAGGAGACGCCAGCTTATTGTGTTCAAAATTTAGTTTAAAAATGTGTAGTATTTTGAAAGATTATAAAACACAACAGAGTTGAGTGGTTCGTTAGACATACTACACACAAGGGCAAGCTTTTCACTGCTATTTTTAATGGAATTGAACACGTTATAGCCTACTAAACATAATACAACGTATTTCTGCGACTATACAACAAGCATGAATTCATTACATTTCAACAAGTAATCACATTGCCTCAAAATATAAACTTCTATTGACAGGAAACCCCAAGCCTCTACCAACACACCCCTAACCTCTACCAACACACCCCTAACCTCTACCAACACACCCCTAACCTCTACCAACACACCCCTAACCTCTACCAACACACCCCTAACCTCTACCAACGCACACATAGCCTCTACCAACACACCCCTAACCTCTACCAACACACCCCTAGCCTCTACCAACACACCCCTAACCTCTACCAACGCACACATAGCCTCTACCAACACACCCCTAACCTCTACCAACGCACACATAGCCTCTACCAACACACCCCTAACCTCTACCAACACACCCCTAACCTCTACCAACACACCCCTAACCTCTACCAACATACCCCTAGCCTCTACCAACACACCCCTAACCTCTACCAACACAACCATAACCTCTACCAACACACCCCTAACCTCTACCAACACATCCCTAGCATCTACCAACACACTAATAACCTACCAACATACCCCTAGCCTCTACCAACATACCCCCTAGCCTCTACCAACACACCCTTAACCTCTACCAACAACCCCACCTCTCCTAAACCCCACCCCACCAAACCCCGTTATCCTACACCAGCATTTTAAAAAAAACATCTCATTCCCCCTTGATGCAGTTATTAATGTGATTATTTGATTTGATATGAATCAACACTGCCGAGGGACTGGCTAGCCCAAGCTTGCCTCAAATTGATTTTCTCCCTTCATATTGCAACTCCTCTACTGGATGCCATTGGGCCTATCCTTGGTCAATAGTTTTTTTCATGAAAAAAAAAATACGCAAAAATAACCCGTATCTATTTACGCTTTCCTTTTTCATGATTTGGGAATTTTAAAAAAAGAATTCAACATGAAAGAGGAAAGAGGTGGGGGGGGGGGGGTCAGTTCGGATGCGATTGCAAAGTATCGATATGGCGATATGATGAGTTTGGGTGTATTTGTGTGTGTTTGTGTGAATGTGTTTGTGTGAATGTGTTTGTGGGTGGGTTTGTGAATCAGGTACCCATCAGAGTTTAGTTGTGTGTGTGTGTGTGGGGGGGGGGGGGGGTGATGAGGGAGGAGTATGCGAAGGGGGTTGTGAGGCGTGGTGAGGGGGAGTTGAAAGTGGTCAATAGCGCAGGTGAAGCAGACTGTACCTGTTTCAGTGATCTCGGTATGTGAAGGGATAGTGTGGTCAGTTCTATGCTAAGCTGTCTTTATTTTCCTTAAAGCGAGTCAGGTACCCTTTAGAGCTGGGTGGACTCAAGGACACGGGGTCTGATTTTCGAGTTTGCTGGAGGGAATGATGAGCCCTGAGGGGAAATGTTGGGAGGGACTGATGGGTGTGGCGGGGGTGTATGGGGAGGGAATGAGGTGTGGTGGGGGTGTATGGGGAGGGAATGAGGTGTGGTGGGGGTGTATGGGGAGGGAATGAGGTGTGGTGGGGGTGTATGGGGAGGGAATGAGGTGTGGTAGTGAGGGGAGGTGTATAGGGAGGGATGCGTGTGGTGGGGGTTAGCAGTTGAGTATGTGGTGTGTGAAGCGACTTCAGTGTAATAGAGCATCACGCAACGAGATGAACGGCCGGGTTAGACGGAGGGGGGGGGGGGGGAAGAAATCGGGGTTACACGACAGAAGTCGAGTCAATACTATAGGTCTGGATTTCGCGAGAGGGGTCGGGATTAGGTTAGATGAATCATATATTAAAATGTTCAGTATTAGGAATAGATCTTGTGCTATATATATTATAAAGGTTCGGTGTTACACTAGAACGATCAGTGTTATGACTAGAGGGGTCTGGTTTTACTTGATAGGGATCGGGGGAAAAAGGGATCGGGGTTACTCGGGAATGGTGGGTGTTAGGATAACAAAGGATATCTTGTATTACATAAAAGGGGTCGGGATTATATGGGTCGGGATTACACCTGAGGTTTAGGGATTTCAAGCGAAAACAGGGATAATCCCCGGGTGAAAAGACCGATATCAATATTTAAAAAAAAAACTCCTCTTTCACTCAATCATATGCACGTGTCTGGTTCTCTCAATCTGTCATAAAACTACACACACATCGTACGTCATACTCAGCAACGACGGTGCACGTGAGCGAGATGAAGTGGGGGTGGGGGGAGGGGGGGGAGTAGAAAGAAAGCGCTCAGCTAAGCGTGACTAGATTTTGTTGAAAGGGTTTTTGTTTTGTTTTTTAATAATTGGTGCATGAGATGGATGGGTTGAGTACGACAGGAATGTGTTGTATATAACATGAATGTGTTGTGTATAACAGGAGTGTGTTGTATATAACAGGGATGTCTTGTAAATAACAGATGTTTTGTATATCACAGAGATATCTTGTTTATAACAGAGATAGCGTGTATATAACATAGAATAGCTATCGTGTATGTAACAAGGATTCTTGTAAATAACAGATGTTTTGTATATTATAATAGAGATATCTTGTATATAACAGGGGTGTCTAGTATATAACAAGGTTGTGTTGTGTATTACAGGCATGTGTTGTTTTTTTTAGGTTATTTTTTAAAACTTCCATAAGCACTAAATCAATATGTTACATGTGTTCATTTCTATGTACATGAACACACATGTTGAATTATGTGAAAATACGCCTCAGTAACTAACAAATATACACGTTCAACGCACGCTCACATAGATCTACATAAAAACTCCACTTCCCTAAAAAAAAAACCTCGTACACTCCAAGTAAACATACAATGGCAATTACATATATACATACACAATCGAACATACAGACATAAAGAAGCACGTGCAGACATGAATACACACAAGTCAAAAAAAAAAAAAAAAAACCCCACAATGAATGTGATAAGAAATAGTTTTGTCTATATAAAACGTCGTTTTTAGTGGGGTTTTTTTTTTTGTTGACTAGAACCTCACTTAATATCGGGATATAGTCTAGTATAAACGCAATTCAGTTAAATAATGCAACGTTAACTAGAGTATTAACCCTCAAAATGATACGAGTAAAGTATCCAAAAGTTTCAAATTTTAAATCTTTTTAAAAAATTTTTTATTTACAAACTAATGATCGACAGTTACATCAGCTGTGTGGCCCGGCTAACGGAAATGAGCTTGTGAACACGTAGACTGCAATATTTACCAAACTAATTCTTCATAAAGGAAAAACTAACAATGATGAAAAAAAACA